TACAATATTCCTATGGAATCAATCTATTAAGAACGCATTAAGATTACGATATTTAATTANGGTCTCGGGCCGAAATAACCTTGTCCCGGACGAACTAGAAATAATTTTCCGTCATCAGCACCCAGGGTAGCGTGGTGCACTGGACAGATGAATGAAGGCAATGTCGGCGTATGTTCAAGCATTAAACCACCAGTATATATATATATATATAGCAACTAAAAATACTTCGAGGAGGGAATAATACTTAAAGTTGCTGTAAAGTATATACTACCTCCGTTCCACTTTATGTGAACCTATTTCCTTTTTGGTCCGTTCCAAAAAGAATGACCCCTTTCAAAATTTGGAAATAATTTTGCTTAAATATACAATTCTACGCTTAATGAGAAGCTTTTATAATCACACAAATACTCTGGTCCCCTTTTTGAATTGTTTAGGACCACAAATTTTAAAAGTCTTCATTTTTTCTTAAACTCTGTGCCTAGTCAAACAGGTTCACATAAATTGGAACGAAGGGAGTAACATATATTCTCATAATCTTTTTACTTGCTATAAATAAGAAACAATATTCATGTGCTTAGGGGCATAAATTTTATGAAAAAGAAATTTTCATAAAAAGAACCGAAAAATGTCTGATTGATTTTTATATAGAGTGTTCTCAGTGCCCGGAGAGGTTTAAAATTAGTTCGAGTAAAAAATTCAGCACATAAAATGTAAGGGCAAAAAAAAATTATAAACCCAGACAAATTACTTGAGTCCCAAGCGCAACCCTCCCAGGAACCTTGTTAATAAGAAATTTCCTATTAGACCAAATTGCAGTTAATTACCTAAAGTAAAAAATTAAAAAACCTTGAAAACGGAAATGAGGAAAGTAAGTGCATTATTCTTTAATTTCTTAATATTTCTTTATTTTGTTAATAAAACTATTTACTAGAAATTTCATATATACTGGATGAATGAAAGTAAGATAAAATAAATAAAATGAAATCGAGAAAAAGGTAAGCAAATTATATTTTCAGATTCTTCTATTAAATTGTGGAGTATTAAGTTAGTTAAAAAAACTTACGTATTGTGAAAATCAGTCAAGAAAGTTAGCCAAAAAATCTTATGTATTCCGCAGAAATCAACACCTTTTCCTCTCCTAAAAATTTGTTTAACCTGATCAAATATCTATAAATAGTCAATTACAGCATTCACGTCAATAAGCTTCCTCCATTCGTTTAGGGTTTCGTTTCATAGTTCGTCTTCTAACTTGAGAGAACAGTAGTGGTTCTTGTCTTTGCATATTGCGGCAATTGTGTGTTTCTCTGTAAGCACGAAAAAGAGGCGACCATATATTCCTTTGGGTAAACAATATTCCTAAGGAGGATACTGTTGTGTGCCGAATCAAGAAGAATATAAGATCAAATAAAAATCATTGGATAACTATGGAGGAACAAGATGTTGCCAAAATAATTGAAGCTATGTTGCTTGGACCTGATGAAGATTACTGTACAACAGTACAACCAACACCATTTTGTCAAGCCGAACATCAAGTCATGGACGAGACTCGGAAGATGAACGAACATAATAATAGCAGCTATATTAATGTCTGCTCCAACTACCAAGAAGAGATCAATTGGGCTGATGATGTGCTCCTAGATATTGACGATTTTGGTGATATAATTTGCTGTTGGTCTTCACAATCTTGAATAATAAATGGTCGAACCAGAACGCAGGGAAGGAGAGAGTAGCAATCAGTTTACAACTTTATTGAATGAAGTTTACTCAATGAAACTTATAGAAAAGTAGAGCTTCTAGCTAGGTAATAGTGTCTCATCCGAACAAACTTCTTAAGAGAAGCTTGCTAGAAGATTTTACTTGTATTCATGTATATGGAGTATCACTTAATAATTTTGCCATGATTTTACCTATATTATTCCTCTAGTGTATGTTGTTCGTTTCGCTGAAAACAATTATCTTTTGTTGTTTCAATTGTGAGACCCATTAGGAAAGATAGGAAACGTATATGCGCTTTGAGTGAGAAAAAATATATCTTACTTTCACACATACACACAACACCATCTTACTAAAGTTTTTATTTTTTATTTTTTTTTGAACACCTAACAATTTGACCCCTTATAAGTACTATACATTTCTTTCTACATTGCTCGTGATATCGCAATGAATCTCTCGTTTTTTTTTGCGCCATGACCAGTTTTTTTTATTTTATAAATTTCCTCATTATCTGGGAGTGTTGTATTAATCAAAAGATGGTTTTCATTAGTACAACACAAGGGTAAAGGTTACCCTTCAAAAGATATGGCTAGGTGATAATATAATACGGATTCACCTGCCACTACCAACAAAAATCCTAACTTACAAAAAATTTAGCCTTGTCATACTTGATTCTAATACTTAGAATTTGGCTTTTGTCCAGGTGAAAGGGGCCCTTAGCGCCTTTAGGAAGTTGCTGACTGGAGAAGTAGTAAGTTTCATTCTGAGTTTTGGCCGCCAATTTTGCTAAACAGTCAGCTAGTTGGTTGGCTTCTCTGTAGCAATGGTTGATATGTATATTTGCCGTGTGCCTCATTTGTATTAGTCTCCTTCTCCTCCCTTAAAATATCAGCTAGCAAGAGTGAATCCATCTCTACAGTGAAAGTTGTATACCCATTCTGTATACACCAGGTAATTCCGAAAAATGCTGCATAAGCTTCTGCGAGATTGTGATTATTGCGACTATAAGGAAATGAGAATGCCATGATAATGTCACCATTGTATTTCCTCAATCCACCTCCCAGTCCATCCTTCCCATCGCTCTTGTTAAAACTTCCATCTGTGTTTAGCTTGAGAGTTCCAATTCCTATTTTTTTCCATTGCACTACCATAGAGTTTTGTTTGAGATGCATCCTTACTAGAGTGTCGCAGAAACTGTCCCAAGGCAACTTGAGTTTACAATTAGGATAGGCCTTGTTGATTGCAGTTTCCACATTCCAATTGATTTGTTGCTTCAGTTTATAGAAGTTGAACTTCTTCTGATCTCCATACCTGCAAGCACAAGTTTCTTTCCATAGTACCCAACATATGATAATAGGAGTAATACTTAACACTAGTTTATGTACATCATTAACAAACTTAGTATGCCACCAGGTATTTAACATATATTTAATAGGGTGGGGGTGATAATTAATTCCAAGTTGAGAGCCAAAAAGTTTCCACACATAACTAGCTGCCTGTCCCTCTACGAAAACATGGTGCATATTTTCATAGGCAGGATTCTCAGAGCAGTTACACCTAGAAACAATCTGTCTCCCAAACCTAGAAATAACTTCATCAAAGGGGAGTTTCCCTTTACAAAGCCTCCAAACCAGGAATGACATATTAAGGGGAATATAGGAATTCCAAATCTTACCAATATGTTGTTACTTAGGTATAGAGTTTCTTATCAGATGCCAAACTGTCTTGTTGGAGTATTTGCCATTCTCCGTTCAGCTTTCTAACATCCCATCTGCCCTCAGTGATGAATTCACGCACCAAAGTTTTATGGCTCTTCCTAGTGGTAGAAATTAAACCTGCAAGATGACCTTTTAAGGTCAAATTATCCCATCAAAACTACTCGAACCTGAATTGATTTGCCAGACCATGTGTTTCTATGCAATGCCTCTAATTTTAAGAACATGTTTCCAGGCATGTGAGTTCCCCGTAGCCCATTGTTTCGAAACCAAATGAGACCTGATACAATATTTATGTCTAACATATGTTGCCCATAGAGATGATGTGGACCTAATCCTGCACCACCTTTTCATAGACAGCATATCATTGATTTCTTCCATCTGTCTAACACCAATACCACCCTCATCTATAGGCACATCGAGGTTATTCCAGGAACTGCAATGGTACCTTTTGTGCTCAATGGAATTACCCGAGAAAAAATTAGCAAAATATTTTTCAATTAATTTAAAAGTAGTTCTAGAGGAGACGTAGCAGATAATGTATAAATGGGCAAATATTGAAGGACACTTTTAATCAACACAACTTTATCACCATATGACAAGAGCTTGCTTTGCCAACCATTGAGCCTTTTCACTATCTTACTAATCAAGGTGTCAAAAATATTAATTTTTTTTCTACTCACATATAGAGGACAACCAAGGTAATTAAAAGGAAAATTCTTATCCTTAAAACCAGAGCACTTCCTAATTCTATTAATCCTGTCAGCTGCAGTCTTAGGAGCAGTGAGGAAAATTCTCTTGTCTCTGTTAATCAATTGACCAGAGCTTTTCTCATAGTTACCAATTTGCTTCATAACAAGTTTAATATATTCAGAATTACCATTGCAACAACCAATTGACAATTTCATCTGTATAGGCTAAATGATTAATATTAGGGACCTTATCATGCATAAAAAAAGGAATAAAATCAGGATGATTATAAAAGTTATTAAGAGACCTGGAGAGAACCTCAGCAGCTATAATGAACAAAGAAGGGGAAAAGGGATCACCTTGTTTAATACCTTGAGAGGAAGAGAAAACACCTTGTCTAGATCCATTAATAATGATCGAATACCACACATTCGAAATCAAATTATGAACCATGTATATCCAATGTTTAGAGAAACCAAATTTACTCAACACAGAATAAACAAAAGGCCATGTCATTCTACCATAGGCTTTAGCCATGTCAAGCTTAATAACAACATTACCTCCCTTGTTCTTATCAGAAATCTTGTGAACAATCTCTTGAGCCAGTAAAACATTTTTGGAGATTAGTCTATCCTTCACAAAACTACATTGATTAGGAGAAACTAATTTGTGCAAGAAGGGGTTTAGCCTTAAAGAAAGAATTTTAGAGATGATTTTGTTAGAGAAGTTAGACAAACGAACTGGTCTAAAATCTGGAAAAAAAAAAGAAGGAGTATCAATTTTAAGAATAAAAACTAAGCAAGTATGAGACAAGAATTTAGTCAAACCTTTCCCTTTGAAGAACTCCAGAGCAAAAGCAACGACATCCTATTTGATAATATCCTAGCAATTGTGTAAGAATGCTCCATTATATCCATCTGGTCCAGCCGTGCTAGAAGCACTTAGGCTCAATACAACATTTTTAATTTCAGCCTCATCGAGTATCTTACTGAGACATAAGTTATCCTCCTTTGTAATGCAATTAGGAATACACTCTAAAATAGTGGGGTTGAGGTTGGGAGTTGGTAAGTTGAACTGGGAATTGAAGTGCATGACTGCAGCTTTGGAAATCTTCTCATCACCCATAATCCATTTACCCTTATGATTCTTAATTCTGTTTACCTGTTGCTTCCTTATTTTTTCCCTAAGAATGCAATGAAAGTATCTGGTATTACTGTTGCCATCTTCAAACCATTTTATCCTATATTTCTGTTTGAGAAGAGAGTCTTGGATACTCAGGCATCTAATATATTTGTCATGGGCTTTGTTCACTTTTTCTCTACTCTGTTCGGTGTTGTCTTCAATGTCTTTATCTTCCAAATATTGAAGTTTCTCATCCCAGTTGATAACGACTTCATTAATGTCTACGATGTCTTTCCTGGACCATTGACTTAATCTCTTACTGAGAGCCTTCAGTTTGGATTGCAAGATCCACATAGGATTACCCATAACTTTTGTATTCAAAATTTTCTTAAAAATATTATAGAAACCAGGCTGATTAACCCAACAATTAAGGAATCTGAAATATTTAATGCAATTGTGGTTGGCATAAAGATTCTTCATGAGCAGAGGTCTATGATCAGATCTGGTCCTTGCCAAATGCCTAATTGAACATCTTTGAAATAGATATAGATCATTAACAAAGACTCTATCCAAACTTTTTCAAATTCTCTTCTTGGATCTCCTTTTATTGCACCAAGTAAAATTTGGACCTGCGTAACCAATATCAGTAACTCCACAACTATCCATACAATTTTGAAAATCAATGCTTTTATACATTCTATGAGGTTTACCCCCTAATTTTTCACTTGGATCAAGGATCACATTAAAATCTCCCCCGATACACCAAGGAGCATCCACTAGTTGACTATCATGTTGCAAAGATGACCAAAGGACTCTTCTATCTTTTGAATTATATTTAGCATATACTGCCGTGACAAGGATATCTTGAGTACCAATAGCTTTCTCCAATTTGATTGTAATGTATTGTTTACTTTCTGTGAAGGTCATTATTGTTGTATGAGTTCCAGAAGCACCAAATTTGACCATTACTATTAGAATGGCATTGTTGATACCCTAAGAATCTCCTGTATCCATCGACCTTTTCTTTAGCAATAAAAGGTTCAAGGACAGCTACGAATTGTGTGTTGTTGATGTCAATCAGCCTTTTAAGCCTGTGAATGGCTTTTTTGGACCTCACCCCCTTATGTTCCAGAAGATTGCACTAATCATAAGAACAATTTGGGGTGTTTTCCTCTCTTTGTTTCCTTCTTTGAGAAGGGTGTGTTCTGTTTCTTTGGCCTTTGCTACTTTTTCGAGTTTCACTTCTCCCTCTTTTAGCAATGTATTGGTTATCTACTTTTTGACTTTCTGAAACTTCCTCTATGTCTTCATTTTTAGTGTCGCTATCTCTTTTGGAGCTCATGTTGAATCTGTTATTATTGCCCTCATTCCTATCTCATTCCCACTCTTTGCCATCCAAATCAACAACTAAATTTATTCCAGGTTGGTTTCTTATCTCTGTTGGAATAGTATAGGTGCTTGCAGCACAGGTTGTATGCTTGTGCATTTCCTCTGCCTTGCTTTCTTCCTCCCTGCTATTCTCCTTATCTTTCAACATTTGATTGACATATTCCATTTCTATATTAAGGGCTTCCTCCTTCTCTAGCCCTTAATTCCTGCAATTTTCATTAACATTGCTCAGTTTCTTATGATCATGCGTATCAAGAGCTTCTTGATTTTGTATGTTGTCTCTGATCATCGCTATAGACTGATCATTTTGTTTGCTCGTCGATGTAGAAACAATATTTTTTTTGTTACTGTTCTGGGCAGGTTTGAATCTTACTTTGCTTTTCTTTTTCGGCATCTTTTTTGCTTTCTTCTTCTTATTTCTTTTCTTCATGTTTTTTCCCTCCTTATTGCTAATGGTCTTTGTATTTTCATTCCCCTCTTCCTGTTGCTTTTTACTGATGTCAACACTGTGAGAATCCACTTGAATTGTGTCCTCCTTGCCATCATTGTTATTTTTCATCATCTTGTACAGAGAATGTGCTTCATCTTCATTTTCTATAATCTCATCTCTATCTCCCTCCTCCTTAGCTTGATCAGCCTTTTTCTTTTCAAGAGCCCTACAATTGACTATGTAGTGACCCAATTTCCGACAATGTTTACAATATTTTGGAACGCCTTCATATTCTAATTTTTGGGGATATCCTTTTAACGGCGATTCATCATATTCTTGTCCCACAAAAATACTTTGAGGTAGAGGTTTTAATAGGTCCACTTCCACTCTAATCTTGGCCATACTAGGCCTTGTTCTACCCATTGTAGCAGCATCTAGAGCAAGAGGCGTACCTACAGAGCTCAGTAGTTGTTTTATGTAGTTCCAATCATGCATATGAAACGGTAAAGCTGGCAGAAGAACCTAGGCCAGAGCGACTGGTAAATCCTCCTCTGGCTTGAAGTCCGGTGACCACTTTTGTAACCACATTTGCATTCCGTCGATTTCAATAACTCTTCTGAACCATACTGATTTCCAGTCATCCTCATTGAAGAGATCAATGAAGACATTATGATTGTCATAGACCCCCTATTCTGACCGTCCCCTTTAATGGAATAATTTCCTTAAATCTTGACCTAATCCGGTCAATTTTGGGGCGTGGTTGAAGAAATCTTCCCACAATTGTGTACTTAGATGAATCTGCCATTATTCCATAGTAGTCTTTAGCTTTGAAAATCACAGCTGGCATGTCATTGTGAGTCGTATGCCTTGCTATCACTTTTTCCTTTTCATGTCGATTGGAGTTTGGATTGGGGATCTGAGAAGATGTTGAAGGAGCTGTGATGTTGTTAGCATAGGTTTGTTTTCCTAGTTTAGAATCGACTTTGTGAGCTGTTTCACCTATTTGGTGAGTCTGATCTTCCGTACGCGCCGGTGGAATGCCTCCCGGCGGCTCCATCTAGTGGAGCGTGAGCAGTACGCGTTAAGACAGGAAGTATAAAGTAGCCGTTGTAGAGAGGAAAAGTATTTTTTCAGTCTGCCATATTGTTTATTACCAGGTTCAATTATCGCCACGACCGCAATGAATCTCTCTTAATTAACTTACATGTTGTAAAGGATTTAATCCATGAAGTTATGCCCTCTGATTTAGTTTACATGTACAATCTAGTATCCTACATATTTGGATTTCTTGTCATGTTCTTACTGGTTTCTCTAATTCTGTATATATTAATCCATATATATACACGTAATCAATGTTGGTGCAGACTTTAATTTTGTAAATCCCTAAAGTTTTTTTATTTTCTTCCGCATATTCAGAGGGGCGGCAAAACTGGTCCATATCAGGGATTGTTGACGTTTTGATTTATTATTTAACTTGTAACCTAATATATGGTCAAGTTTATGATTTTAAACTTGTCGTTAAACACGGACAAAGTGAACAAGTTTGAACCCAGTCAGAATAATGTACAAGTATAAGAAGCCCATTTAATTTTTCTCTCGGTAGATTCAGAATACAGTGTAACATGGGTAATCCGATTCCTCTCTCTTTTCTATGTTGTCTACATTTCCCCAAGTTCTTATAACTTAGATGGATGATGATGTGTCCCGTACTAATATCAATGGCTTATGTTTACTTTATGAAAAACACATTTTAACCATGATTACGATAAATGAATTTTTCCATACATTTGCTACCAAAAGTTTTGGCGATCCCTTAATTATGGTTGGCAACATATTGTTTCATATCTAACGGCGTCTTCAAAGATAGGTCTAGTGAGTAGAAGAAGTGCAGAAGCGTCCATGACTGTGTTTGCACAGTTTACGTAATTTTCTAAATGAAAAACCTACTCTATATCAATCTGTTAGGAACAAATGCTTCTCCCATTAAGTATATGCTTCATGTCGTTGCCAAATATATGGCCATAAATAATTATTTTTAGGCACAGCAATTTTGAGTTCAACTTTTGTCACTTATCCTAGATTATTAGTCGATGTCAATCTTGTTGTTATCTTAAAAAATATAGGTCTAGCGATATTAACAGTACTTGATTTCCTTGGTTTGAATTTGATAAATTTTCTCTGATGCCAAGACTTTTGGGATTAAACTAATTTTGGGAGATAAAAAATAATTTTAGGTGCATAGATGGAAAAAGTAGAGGAAATATCAGTAGTTAATGAGAAATATTCACTATTAACTAATTTCTAATCATGGTTATGATTTGATTTTAGTTAATTAAATACATAACGTTAATATATATTAAAATGTGACATGTGTCACTCAACTAAGTAAGAACTTGTGAAAATGGAGAGGAGCCAAATACTAATGAATGGAGTATTTTTTTGGAAGCAAAGAGAAAAAAAAAATCTAAAAGCCCATAATCTGTGAATAACAAATTGTAAATGTGTTTATTTTGTGATTATGTGTATCATTCAGGAATAATGCCATTATTGAAAACTCAAATTTTTGAATTTCCAATCAAAAATTTCGAAGAGTTTTATTTAGTAAAGTTGTCTATAATAAACTAGTTTTGACTCATTGCGCGTTGCACAATACTACGTTATATATATATCGCGAAATATTTTATTGCAAAATGTAGGAATCTATTTTCTGATATTCTATGATCTTTTATGAATTATTTGTTCGTGTGTTTTATGGAGAAGTATGCCTAATGATTTGTTTCAAATTAATTCCAAAGAAAAGGCCGTTTCAAGAAGTGAATATATGCAATATGCCAAGTTCTGAAATTTAGAGCTAGCCCATGATCCGATTTAAGCTGAAAAATGATATATTTTCGTTTTCTTTGGTTTATGGGGTAAATTAACTATATTTTTCATTTCATGTGAAGAATCTGTTAATTTAGAAATTTTATATTTAATGCAACACATTATGTTTTTTTAATTAATCCATCTACTCGGTCTTTCACCTCCCGTGGTGATGGGGTTTTTGGCCAAGGCCCCTGCTTTATCATCCAATAATAATTACAACGACGGGGAGATAACCAAAACTTCAATGAAAGAAATGCTTAAGGCCTCAAAAGGAGATCTTTTTTTATTTATTTATAGAATTTACGCCATTGGAAGGCGTAGTCCTTATATTGCTCACAAAAATAAAATTACAGCATAACAGAGGACGGCATCAACCTAGCCTGTGTTCAACAAAAATCCCCTGTAATAATAATCAGGGTCGTATACAAGTACAAAGATCCATAATATAAGATATAAACACTCCTATGATCCTATACAAGATTAGTACCCTTGTTTATCCAATTTATCCAAGACAAACCTATTCCAAAAATAAAAAAACTTATGACAACATATTCCTCCTTTGCTTATGCCTTATGGAAGCCATATGAGCTTTGTCCATCAAATAGGGTCCAGTGGCACACCTGGGAATCCAGATCTCTAGGATTGAGGAAAATGGATTCATTCTCTTCAATGCCCCGTTTAG